CAGCATCCTACTGTTCAAATATCGCGCAAAATATTGTTGCTGCAATAAAATAGAAAATTATTTTTTTAAAAAAAAATTATAATAAAATGTTAAAGTTTGTATAATGACTTAAAATGTGTGAGTCAATACTTACCAATGTACGAGGTATATTGCCATATTTTTCTGTGCTAGTACCACCAACGGAGGAATTGTCAAGTATATCAATCCGTGTATACCCAGAGAATATATCAATGCATATTACATAGATGTGATCAAATTGGATAACTGGAAAAAAGAACTGCAAGTTGGAATTTGTTATAAATGTGTTAGCACAGAGAAACAATAAATACAAATCTTATGTAAAGAATTTGGAATATAATATACCAAATGTCGGGTCAAAGGATTATCATAAGCTTCAAGCTCCCCATCCACATCTTTTTCGAACTTATAGTAGAATTTATCAGTGATCTCTTCTGTTGGTGCATTCACAATACAATTTATCTACAAAATCATGACGTTTAGATATTAATTATACATTTCATTAATAAGTGATGTTATTTTATATATCTTTTTTTGAAATCAAAGCCTGTGAAACCATATGTTATCGTGTGCATGTCTAAATGAAAAAGTTTACAATTACAGTCTCAATCCTATATATGCTTCAATATGTTATTAAATTACTTATCCCATTGCCTTTTTAAATTTTTCAAAGAGCCAAACATAAGACTCAATGTCTTCTTTCAACAGTAGTCCAGCACCGAATGTTATACATTTTTTATGGTTATCAACTCCGGTGAAGGGTGTAAAAACCAGATCGTACCTACAAGACAAAAAGCGTCATCACAGTATACAGGTGTCAAACAGCCGCACTTAGAGAATTAGAGTAACGCACATTAAGTTTTAAAATAGCACATATATGTAATTGAAGTCTAATTCTGGATATTCCACATTAATATGCGAGAGAGTAGTGTTTAAAATGCGTGGTATAAAACGACAATGTGCGCTTATTTATATTTCAACTCTTTTTCAATAAAACAGTGAACGTGTCTAAATCTTAACATGGCTCAACAGATTAGGCAATGCTAAATGTGTATTAATTAATGAAACGTACGCAAGAATGTGAATAGAATAATATATACTTGTTTGTTGAGTATGTGGCATCAAAAGAGACAACATCTCCAAATGCAGCAAAATTCTTTTTTGACATTGGATCTGCCCAAAACAGTCTGCTCATCTGCTCATCTTCATCAACTTCGTAGTCAAAAGCAAATGCAGGGCACATCTCTTGTTTCTTAATAAGATTATGCACCAGTATTTGTGCATCAGCTCCCAATATGTATGCTCTGAGATCCCTTCTAACATTCTTAAAGTCAACTACAGTCGCCCCAACTTCAGAGTAATCCCCCACAATATGACTGTATAAACCGTGTGATTTTGATGCTCCAATATTTGCTTTAGCGCAATTGAGTATAAACTTCTGGTGAACACTGGAGATGTTTCTATTTCCCTTTAGAAACTGCCTTGCCAGAACCGAAGACATGCTGTGATTATGTTTTTCAATAAAAGTTGTAACTTGGTACCCAGCTGCTCCAATGTACTTAAACATAATCCTAGCTCTGCAACCAGTTCTGTTTGAAACCCTTCGCCGCTTTGGATGGGAAGGACCTTCCCCTGCATCTGCACTTGACTGCGAGTGACAATGTTGAGCTCCTGTATTCTTAAATCCTTCTCTGTTGCAAACGATTTGCTTTTGAGTTTTTGTCCCGTCACGTGCTGTAACGACGGAACTAGACCTCGTGTCAAACCCAACTTTGGCAGCATAATGATTATAGAATTCAATACCAGCATCCAATGTTTTAAAAATCATGTTTACTGCTGGTCTGATTTCATCTTCACAGTGAGGAGTCCAATACTATGTCATTCCAAGAGATATGGTCAATGTATGACCATTGCTGCTGCTGCTGGGACTCAAGTTGGGGTTGTTGGTAGATTGAAAGTCACTGGGAACTGTAACGTATAAGCATGAAGTTATGATTGTGTTGTTGGAAGCCTCTACGTGCGTAATGTGAACACTTAATATGCGTTAAGTTAATCAGATCATTGTCAATATGGCAGATTTATAAAAGAAAAGAGTATGTGCGGCAAGTGAGAAATTAACGTGCTTCAGGGTAATAGTTAACGTGCGCATGTTGAACAGTTAACATGCGTGAGTGTTTGTTAAAATATTATGTCATTACTTAACGTGCGTCAGAGAGTCCAGTAACATAACATGCGTCTGGAAAGGAATTAATGTGCGTGTGCTCAACGGATAACATGTGTGGGGGTAAATAGTAATATGTGCATTTTTAAAAATTATCATGCGGCTACCTAATCATCCACGTGCGTAAGGCTCTAGGCTCGGATTAATTAAAGTAGCTCAGTAATTCGGTGGTTAAGTTGCATGCATGTAGTGCTTAATGTGCGTGTAATTAAGACAAGAATGATGCCAATACAAGTGCAGATAAAATTAATTCCAGAAAAGCGATAGAATTTGGGTAATACCTCGATCGAATTCTTCCATTGTTGTTCGGTTGACGTTTTTGATGGGTTTAGGGTTTATTTTGACGAATATGATATTGAACGACGAAGAGAATAGATCTTATTGCCAATTCCGTAGAGATCGTAAATTCGTCTGAGATTAGGAAATATCGAAGATTAGGAATCAATGGTGAATTTTGAAAACGCTTGAAGAAGAAGAAGAACAGATTTTTTTTTTTAATATAATCAAAAGGACAAAAATACCCTTAATGAGCAATTCGCGCTTAATTTTTGCTGTTAATCTTATTCGTTCGATCAAGAGCTACGTGAGGCTTAGATTCAACCTCATTATTCACGGGAAGGAGTAAATGCACGGGAGCCCTTCCCTACATATATATATATATATATATATATATATATATATATATATATATATATATATATATATATATATATATATATATATATATATATATATATATATATATATATATATATATATATATATATATTTATTTATTTATTTATTTATTTATTTATTTATTTATTCATTTATTTATATTTATATTTATATTTATATGAGGGTGTATGAGATCACTTTTTAGGTGAGATTGTGAGATTAAATTATGGGCATCAATTTAAAAACTTTTATTAGTTATGACTGAACAAGTTGATAATTACTTAAAATAGATCAAAGGGGTGAAATAGTAAACTAATGTAAAATGTTTAAATGAATTTAAATAGATAAAATATCAATACCATATTTATAGGAGTTTTATTATTGATAGAAATTGAAACAAGGCTTTCCTAGGATAAGTGTGGACTAATTTCAAATGTCCATTTTAAATTTGTGATGGCTAGAAAATAAGGATAAAAATATCTTATCTATTTTATAAAAATTACAAATTTTACTCTATAGGGTTGATAAGTGTACCTTAACAGAGCGTTTGGTTGGAGGGGGGAATTATGTGAGAAAGGAATTGTAATTCCATGGGAGTTGAATTACTGGGAATAAAGTGCGAATTTAAATTCCAGTGTTTTGTTGACAGGAATAGAATTACTGGGAATTTCAATTCCAATGTTTGGTATACATGGGAATTGAAAGGGAATAAGTAGTATAAAGTCAAAAATATCCATTATTGTTGTTAGACATTAATTTTATGTTAAAAAAGGAAGGGGTAATTTTGACTCATCACTATCTTTTTTTCCCAGGAATTAAAATACCAGGGGGGACATGGGATTTTAATTCCATGAAAATGGGGGAATTGCAATTCCATGTAATTGCAATTCCCTCCAACCAAACTACGGAATTTAATGGCCTTTTGAATTAGGTGGGAATTAAGTGGGAAGGGAATTTAAAATCCCTCCAACCAAACGCCTTGTAAGTGCGCGTTTAGTTCACTGTAATTTCGTTGTAGTTGAATTGCAATTCAATGGATGTCTTAATTACATTGTTTGGTTGGAGGGAATTGCAATTTCACAGAATTGCAATTCCCTTCTTTTGTTGAATTGCAATTCATGAAGTACCCCCATGAATTGCAATTCAATGAATTTGAGAAAGGAAAATCAAATGAAATGACACTACTACCCTTAGTTGTTAGTACTATTATTATTATTACATAAGGGTATTTTAGTCTTTATACCACTTCTTTCCTTCACAACTCCAAAATTCTATTTCTCCTTACCAAACAACGTAATTTGAATTACTACTCTATTCCCACCTTATTCTTTCCCCCGAATTACAATTCATTTTCCCCATAATTCCTTCCTTCCAACCAAACAACCCGTTAAATTCAAGTTATTTATAAAAATGTTATTACATATTACATTTTTTTCTGCTTTAAATCTGTTAGATGTTTTAGATTGGTAGCTTTTATTGGTTTCTAATTTTCTCTTTAAGCACCTATTTTTTTCATGAGTGTTTACTCATATATTGTATAGGAAAATGTTTTTTTTTCCTTTTAACATTTTTTCTTGTGAAAATCCTTTCTAACATGGTTTATAAATATTGGATACCATAAATTGATTGACTCCCCATGTTATGAAGATTAAACCAACAAATGAAAAAGTGCGATAACAGAAGATATAAATTCAAATTTGTGTGTTTGGCCATGTAAATGTACAAGAAAAGCAAATGAAGTCAGGCTGTAACTTCCAGAGTTAAAGATAATGATGCCACTCACTACAATCAATAACACGTTGGTACACTCACCATGTCTTTTTTCATTCAAGTTCTGCACACAAGATGTGGGATACCAATGTAATACAAGCGCCGCATTGCTGCACCATTGGCAATTTTAGAAAGTTGTCATTTAGATAAGAAGCAAATTAAAGCCAAATGAAAATCTGCCATAGCTTCTGATGCATTCAATGACACATCAAAGTAATCTGGATATTCCATGTGGATGATGACAACTTGACAAGTAGCATAATCCTAAGAGTCAGGTTTATTATATGCCATTAATCCACAATTACACTTTAGGATTTCCAGTGCCAAAAGAAAGGAAAAGAAAACCAACTATTAAAAATAAAAAAGCTAAGGCTTTTCACATTGATGATTTCAAGTTAATGTTGGGTTTTCTGTAATATTGATTGGAATGAAGTTGACACCATGAAAACACAGTTTTTACACACAGACTAAACATGAAGTAGCTAGTTAAGCTTGCCCTTGATTTCTCCAGGTTGATCTTTGGGGTCTGGTGACTGTTGGTAAGATATTGAAATCAGCTTAGATCTATAAATGTCATCTCCCTCACCATTTTTAGTCTTAGTCAAATCCTCAGGTTTGTAGCCAGAAGCAGGTTCCTTCTCTGGTGCTAAGTAAGATATTGCAATGAGCGATTCCCGAGTCGAGTCCTCATCACAAACCTTCTTGCCTGGATTCTTCTTATCCATAAATGCACTGTTTCATGAAGCAATCAGGACAATGCATAAATGACATAAACAACTGAAATCTTATTTCAGTTTTTATTATTTCTCACACAACCACAACTAAGGCTTATTTGAGTTGAGCCACAAACCAAGGTGAACTAAATTAGCTAACTTGTTAGTTGTTTCTGTTATATATGTAAGCATTATTAGTTCTTCTCAAATTTTGGGAAAAATTATGGCCACTACTTTCCCTCCTAGTAAATTATCATTCAAATTTACTGCATCCACCCAAGTACACAATTTTGAATCAAAATTGAAACCATCTTAACTGGCTTCTCCTCAATAACTCATTCAATGAAAATAATAACAGAGAGTGCTAGGAAATTGTATGTAAATGCCAAAAAAAACACCAATTATAAAGCTTTTATAGACCAACTACGTTAAATCAGCATCTCTATTCTCTAGGATAGCCATCAATTATAAACCTAAAGGCTCAAACTTCCTTGCACAGCCAAGGAAGAGCATACAGAAAACATTAAAACTTCAATCAAATCATAACTCTTTAATGACCTCTTCTTTTTATGTATTCATATTTAAAGATTTTTGACAAAAATTGACACGACTTTTGAGGTGAATACAGATCAAAAAACCAAAGCACATATAAACAGACGAACCCTTGAAACCCGAAAATCATTTATAAAATCCAAACGGCAGCAGATTCAATCCCAATAAAACTATCTACCAGCTAGGTAATCAGATTAGTAATCATCATCGAAAATAGCATAAACCAACATAACTATAATTCAGAAGAAATTGAAGTCAAACCATTTTCCACGCCCATGATCATCGATATTCGATAATAATAAGACGAAAAAACTTTTAGCAACAGATATATATCGTAATACAAGAGGCGAAACGGACTTAACAGAAGCGGGAGAACATTACCGATTGATTTTGGAGAGATGTCTTTCGTCGGCGATGGAAGAACCGTTGGAGGGCCCTATCAACTATCAATCGATCAAAATTCACTTTTGTCTTCTTCTTTGCTATTACTTCGGGATAAACAGATATGGAGTTCAATTTTGACCAATGGTCAAAGTCAAATTTTCTTACACCGTTTGTCGTAAAACACGATGAAAGAAAGAAAAAAAAAAAAAACACAAAAAAACACAAAGCCCCATTGAAACTCGGCTATTCACAGTAAATTTAGGATAGTGTTGTATCCCACCTAATTTTTAGTAAAATATTAATCACATGACTATATATTCTCGCCACCAAAAAAAAAACAGGTAGAAAATAATTTCCCCCTCCTTTAAATTTAATAATCACTCAAGAAAAAGGTCTAATATTTTCTCTTAAATTATATTTCGGTTAAATAGCACTTTTTCTCCCTATGTTGTTTACTAATAGCATATTTTCCCCCTGTGTTATTTATGTAACCACTTTATCCCCTCAATTGTTTTTGAAGTGGCTATTTTTCCCCCTCTCCGTTAAATAAGTGTTAGGAATGTTAAATATGAGGATAAAAATGGCATTTCACTTATTATTATTATTATTATTATTATTATTATTATTATTATTATTATTATTATTATTATTATTATTATTAATGAATTCGGTTTGCAATATAACTGTGCATTTTAGGCGTGGAGTACGACAGTATATTAGGGCGTTGGGTGAGACTTATTATTATTATTATTAATGAATTTGGTTTGCAATACAACTGTGCAATTTAAGCGTGGAGTACTACAATATATTAGGGCATTGGGTGGGGTCGTCCATTAATAATAATAATAATAATAATAATAATAATAATAATAATAATAATAATAATAATAATAATAATAATAATAATAATAAAAAAAAAGAAGTAAAATGTCATTTTTACCCTCATATTTAACAACCCTAACACTTACTTAACGGAGAGGGGGAAAAATAGCCACTTCAAAAACAATTGAGGGGATAAAGTGGTTACATAAACAACACAGGGGGGAAATGTGCTATTAATAAACAACACAGGGAGAAAAAGTGTCATTTTCCCTTATATTTCTGAAATAAAATATTTCAAGGAATTTAGTTTTATCTTGGAAATATAAAAATTATATTATCTAACAAAATTAAATAAGTTGTTTGGTTCATTAAACTTTAATAGGAATTTTGTTTAATTTCTAATATATTATTGTTATTTTTTCTAGGAGTTAGATTACAAACAAGACATGAAAAATCTATTAAAATATAGTAATATATATTTTTAAAAAAACAAAGAAAAAAAAAAAGAGGCATGCATCATTATTGAGGATTATAATTGAGATAGAAAATTGGTCAATAATATTTACTACATATCTAGATGTAATTTAAGATCCTGTTGTACTTAGGGTTATTAAAGTGGGTCAAAACCCGCGTGTGCCATGCCCCACAATGAGGCAAGTTAGCGCTTTTCTCAATGCGCTTCACTCGGGCTAACTGATCGTGGCTGGTTTGAGCTCGGTCAAACTCCGACCTAAATTACTCGACTAAAAGATCGTTAGATCGTTTTTAGCCAATCACGCTTGGTTGGTTTTGATTACCGCACTAATCACGGTTGATTTTTTAAAACAAAAAATTATCTGATCGGGGCGATTTCCCCCTTTCACACTCAGTTTACGTACTGAGAGTCCCAGACGGAGGGACACTAGGAGACCCGATGGTCTAACGATAGCGAGATGTGATTTAAAAGACAATAATTAGGGAATGGGGAGCTTTCTCCTTCTGTGCTCGGTTTACAAACAAATAGCCCCCGAGCGTAGGGGCGCTAGGAGACCCGAAGGTCTAACGATAATGAGACAGGGAAGGTCTTTTTGCTCGGGAAGCGCTAGGGGGCCCGAAGGTCCAGCGATAACGAAATCGGGGAGGTCGTTTTGATCGGGAAACGCTTTAACGAACGAGCTCCGTAGGCTGAGGGAGTTTCCCTACAATCCTATTAGTAGCCTCCCACTCCCTAAGTTGCGAGAATCATCAGCATTAGGGAGTAGATACGATGGCTTCCCGAGTTTGTTTTCGACTTTGACTGTGATCAGGAAGTGACCCGATTGAACTCACGATGCCGATGTATCACCGATTGATTTGCCTAACTTATAGGACTTTGGGAATTTACGAAGCCTAAACTTACCGATCGAGAGATCGAACCTCTAACGTGATAGAGGATTTGCATGCTACCAATCAACCGATCGTGTTTTGAACGTGATCAGGTGATCAAACTACCAATCAAAAGATTGGATTTGCCCGGGGGTAGGAAGTCTGACCCTGCGGACTCAACTGCCTACCTCGTAGGGCTTAAAGCCGAGATATGATCCCGGGCTCACCGCGTCGATGGTGGGAATACCAACCTAATCGGATTTATAGTGCCAGTGGTGGCAATGCCGACCTAACCGATCTTAGAGCGCCGGTGGTGGCGACGCCGACCTAACCTAACTTATAGCGCCAGTGGTGGCATAACCGACCTAACCGGACTTAGAGCACCGATGGTGGTAAGGCCAACCTAACCGGACTTAGAGCACCGATGGTGGTAAGGCCAACCTAACCGGACTTAGAGCGCCGGTGGTAACAGGACCAACCTAACTGGACTTATCACACGACCAACCCACATACATGATTGCGGTACAATTTAAAAAGCAAAGTAACCGAAGATCGGAACTGAAGGACCTATGTCCTCTTCAATATGAGATCGGAACTGAAAGACCTTTGTCCTCTTCAGTATTGTGTCTTAGCACTGCCCAAAAATGCTCGTGGTTTTCACCTTTTTGATTTCCATGTTAAAAATATTGTGTCTCATTTATTTTCCCTTTTCAATTATTTATTCTTCTGCTCTTTCATATTTCACATCTCATCTAGTCGGTCATATTGGCCCACCGACTGACTACCTCCGGTAGTTGTAAAACCAACATTGTCGTTGTCTATGGGGACTGATACAAAAAAACTATGTGCCCATATCACTAGAGCGATAGAATCACATAATTGGACGATACACGAGGGGGGGGGGGGGGGGGGGGAGGGCAGTGCTCCACCACAAATTAAAACAAGGATCAACGAATGCATATCCTAGCAAGAAATTGTGGATAAATACATGTGATAATGTGATGGAAGTTCTTGGAGGGAGGTTTCAAGCATTTTGTACGTGGAAAATATGATTTGGTCTTCTTCTCGAATGGTTACCTCTCGGGTTTTTGTTCGGACTATAAACAAACCATCATTAGAAGGAAATAACCTTCTGATATACCCCATTGGTCCTCTAGTGAACCTCTGGGGTTTGTTCAACCTTTTGAGTTTTTCATTTGAAGAACGATTTGGTCTTCTTCTCGAATGGTTACCTCTCGGGTTTTTATTTGGCTTACCTTTCGAATGGTTCATCTTCTTAAGCTAAACATTCGCAAGTTGACCATTCGATCTACTACTGCTTGGTTTGTTCTATATAGTACTCAGAGTACTTCTCAGGTTGCTTTTCGAAGGTTCCACAACCTTTCGAATAGTTTCACCTTTCGGTTGACCATTAGTAATAAAGAAAATATAAATAAAACCATAATGACTCTGTTAATTGAAAATTAGTATATAGTTGGTCTTTTTTCTTTTTCCTTAAAAACTCTCAAACATATTTAAAATTCACTGCTGAAAATCTCACAGTTTCCGACCAATGAAAATTAGATGGTAAATGGGATTTTTGGTCGGTAAATAGCTGAGTGTGGTGGCGACGAAGCTTCCTTCGCACCGAATGGCAAAGGGTTAGGCACCAAAGATGGTATCTCCAACAGGCGGCCTGCAAAGTATCTCCTTTCTTCCACTTAGAACATTCAGAAGAAGTTGGAAGAGTTTCGTCGGAATATCAAGATGTTTTAATAGGGGAGTAATTTTAGGGTTTTCTCTTTTGACACGTTTGATTGCCACAATTTCTAAGTCTCTGTTTTATATGTTGATCGGTAATTCTGACCAACTTACGTTCAACTCTCTTTTCATCCAAAAGTTTATTTTTTTTCAAGAAAAATCCACTAATGTTTAGGTTGGTCAGAAATAGCGAATTTTTCAGCAGTGAATTATGGGTTTTAGAACAGGATAAGTGGGCATACAGGATACTATTTTTCTTGACAATTTCATACTGAATTGAAGCTTTTATATTAATTGAATTAATATTTCAAAGAGTTGTAACCATTAAATGAAAGCAATATTAAATAGAAACTTTTAAGGTCATAGGGTTGAAAATATGCTCCCACGAAAATATACCAGCCACTCAATTCATACGCAGAATGCCATATTGTCAGCCACCATCCACCCCTTTGATTTGTCTTCTTTTTTGCTCTTTCCAACGCACCGCCCACACTCCACCATTCATTTCTTCTTGTCTTTGCAAACCAGTACAGTGCACTTCCAATCACATTCCATGCAATCCAAGTGGCCACTGTTGAACTTGCAGCCATGCCCACCGCCCACATCCACCACTAACAGGGCCGTCGCCCATATCCACCAACCAAAGAAGACTGCCCACAGCAGATGGCGGTGACGGAGAGAGAGGGTGGTCGACGGTGGTGGTTGGCGAAGCGCGGAGGTCTGCAACTGCATGCCGCTTGTTCTCATTTCTGGGCAACTTTGAATTACTGGATTTAGAATGTTAGACCTTAGCTTGCTAGAATAGGCTCTCCATTCCTCGTAAAATCCGAACAGGAATTCTGATAGCCAAAGGCCATTCCTTTTCTCTCCTTTCTACGGCACCCTGGTGGAGCTTTACAGTAGATACACGCCGCCTGTTCTCTTGCAGGCGGAAATTAAAGATCCGGAGAAGATTCTGAAGCGCCGCACACGTGTAAGCTGCGAATAACCACGCTGCCAGTACCGGACGGCTCCGGTAACTTCTACTCCGTCGTAGCCCACGGCGGATATTGAAGGGGGATCAGAAATATTTTAATAAATAAAAGAGATAGCATAAAAAAAATTAAACACCTATACTAGATATAAGCAAAAAATAAAACATATCAAAATTTTATAAAAATATTTATAACAAAATATAAAACATAATTAATTTAATAAAATAATTTAATAGAAAAACATATTATAAATTACACATCTCATTATTAATAAATAAATAAATAAATAAATATATATATATATATATATATATATATATATATATATATATATATATATATATATATATATATATAGGATTAATTTTTAAAAAAATTGTAATGGTTTAGTGAAAAGTCACAGAGTTAGTTGAATCTTTTTCTATACAAAAAAATTAGATATGGAAATAGGCTCCAACTAAAAATCTAAAGTAAAAATATAAAATATCACTGATGTGTTGTAATGTTGTTTGTGCCTATTGGCCTTTAGCTCCTAACCGGTGAGTTGTAGCATTTGTATCAATAATATAAAAGATAAAAGTAAAATATAGAACAAGAGATAGGGGTGAAAGAGGAGTAAAAATTTCATTATACCAACCCTACATTTGAGTACAAGGAAGAAATATATATATAATACATTTGTAACAGAAAGCAGTAAATGATAGATATAAATATGAGCGTTATAACCGTTACAAAAGCTACTCATAATGTCCACATTATTAATATCATTTATAACAATATGAAGTTTATTCCCAATAAATTAAATGCTTATTTTTTGTGCACTGAAATCCATTATTTGGTATTCAGTATATAATAAATAAATATTTATTTATTTATGTATTGTGGAGAGTAGTTTATACCTATAGTATAATTTGCCCAACTATTAACACATGGTCCAATGCTTCCAAGTCCCCAAGTTTACACTAGAATCAGCTCATGCACTTAACCCAATATTCCGGCGGAACCAATTACCAACCCTTCGAAATTGGTGAAAATATCAGCTCATCTTTATTTATTATTATTTTTTTTTTTGCAACAAATTTAATTGTAGAGTCTATAAATACTGAGAAATTGAAGAGAGGAAGCACGTACTGTTCTCTCCAATCCCCTGACCCATTCTCTCACAAATAGGTTGTGTTGGAGTGAAAATGGAGTTGGGGTTGGGTGTGTTCTTGGTGGGGGTTCTGGGTTTAAGCAGCTTTTGGTGGGTGCTTGGAAGGGTGAATTGTTGGTATTATGAGAGAGTGAAGCTTGGTGATAAGAAGAGACTAAGTTTGCCTCCAGGTGATTTAGGTTGGCCTTTCATTGGCAACATGTGGTCTTTCCTAAGAGCTTTCAAGTCCTCCAACCCAGATTCCTTCATCGCCTCATTTGTTTCCAGGTATCTCTTTCTCCAGGTGATTTAGGTTTTGCTGCATATATACATTTAATGTTACATTTAATTTGCGTTCAGATATGGAGCAACTGGGATGTACAAGGTCTTCATGTTTGGTAGCCCGAGTATCATCGTTACAACACCGGAGGGCTGCCGGAGAGTTCTATCAGACGATGAAGCATTCCAGCCAGGGTGGCCGGAATCCACCATGGAACTCATGGGCAGAAAGTCTTTCATTGGCATTTCTTTCGAAGAGCACAAGCGTTTGCGCAAGCTGACAGCTGCCCCCGTGAATGGGCATGAGGCGTTGTCTTTTTACATTGACTACATCGAAAAAATTGTGAAGATAGCACTGGAGAAATGGGCTTCCATGGGAGAAATCGAGTTCTTGACACAAATGCGGAAGCTCACGTTTACCATAATTATGTACATTTTCTTGAGCTCAGAGAGTGAACAGGTCACGGAGGCCTTGGAGAGGGAATACACAACTCTCAACTATGGGGTTAGAGCTTTGGCAATTAACCTTCCAGGATTTGCTTACTATAATAGTCTCAGGGTAGGTATATATTATATTGTTCAATAATTCCAATCCATTTCTAGCTAGCTAATGTTATTGGAAAGATTTTAATTTGTTATGATTTTGAATAATTTGTGGCAGGCGCGAAAGAGGCTCGTGGCGATTTTTCAATCCGTAGTGGATGAAAGAAGAGAGGAGAGAAGGAAGAACCCTAACGGTTTTCATGAGAAGAAGAAACTAGACATGATGGATAGACTAATGGACGTTAAAGATGAGAATGGGAGGAAGTTGGATGATGAGGAAATAATTGATGTTATGTTGATGTACTTAAATGCTGGGCATGAATCATCAGGCCATATCACAATGTGGGCTACTGTGTTTCTGCAGAGCCACCCTGAGGCCTTCAAAAAAGCCAAGGTTTATTTGGAAATTTTTATTTAATTTGGACAATATAATATAATCATTTTCTTTTCTTCCAAAGATGTTACTTATTTTCTCATCATATATATGCTAATAATGCAGGCAGAGCAAGAGGAAATCAGGCGAAATATGCCTCCTGGTCAAAAGAGTTTGACACTGAAAGAGGTCCGACAGATGGAGTATCTGTCTATGGTGAATCTCCTTTATCCTTTCTCATGCATGCTATTATTTTATATATAATATATAAATATAATATATAATTCTCTATTTGTTCTGCAAGGTGGTTGACGAAACACTTCGTCTGGTAACATTCTCTCTGATGGTGTTTCGAGAGGCAAAGAAGGATGTGAATATTTCGGGATATATAATTCCAGAGGGATGGAAAGTTTTGACGTGGTTTAGAGGTCCTCACTTTGATGAGGAGATATATGAAGACCCATTAACATTCAATCCATCCAGATGGGAAGTAAGTTTATCAATCCATCTTTTCTTTTCCCCACCTACCACAGGCACAACAGCACATTATTATATTATTGGAAATGTATGACTGATACTATTGCAATTGGTGTAGAATTTTACACCAAAAGCAGGAACATTTCTTCCATTTGGAGCAGGAAGCAGACTGTGCCCAGGAAACGACCTTGCCAAACTCGAAATCTCCATTTTTCTTCACCATTTTCTACTGGGTTATGAGTGAGTTTATTTCATTTGCTTGCTTTGTAGGAGTGGTTGGTTTCTGGGAATTTTGCTGACAGGGTTGTTGGTTTGATTTGCAGGCTGGAGAGGAAAAATCCTGACTGTCCTCTCATGTATTTACCACACACGAGGCCTAAAGATAACTGTTTGGGTAGAATAAAAAGATCAGTCTCATCATCTTCAACTGTCTAGACAACAAACAACCTCAAAGTTGTATCTGGTCTTTAGTCTCTGGTCTATCTTGAAAATTAGTTTCTGTTGTCCTCCTTAGCTTTTTCAATTTGAGTTTCCTATCAATAAAAAATTAGTGTTGGGATGATTTCTTAACCCCACAAATGATGACTACCTATCCACATTTCATTTGATCAAGTATTTGCATGTTCGATGACATGTTAATCAATTCAACAAACTCAAATGTTCAAATGTATTCAACAATTTGGATTGGAGAACAAATGGACAATCATCCTTTCTAATTAGGGGTGCTTGTGTTTATAGTCAGATTCGTGTTTAATCTTACTAATGGCACAGTCCAAAATAAGGGCCATAGAAAATTTTACAAAACCTTGTGTCATCTAAAATTCAAATCCACTTAAACCTATAAATTTCTGTAAACAAATTCGTTAATAAACAAACACAATAATGACATGAACAATATAACTAAACACGAATATATTAAGGGGTCGTTTGGTTCACGGAATGTTAGATTACCTTAGGAAATGTTAGATTGCTGGGAATGTTAGATTATTGAAAATGTTAGATTCCTATGTTTGGTTAAAATTAGGGTATGTAATATAACTATGTTTGGTTTATGGTTATCTTTTATACACACTATAATATCCTTAACATATTTTCATATATTTTAATAAATTTAAAAATTAAAATAAATAAATAAGATAATATCATATATAATATATGGTTTTAAAATATTAATTAAAATCTTGAACTTAAGAAACAAAATTATTTTATATGCTAACATAACATAATAAAAATAAAAAATATATAATTACAATAAATATATATATATATATATATATATATATATATATATATATATATATAAGCTAACATAACCAAGGTTATCTTACATAACTTAAGAAATTGAAGGGAATCACATTCTCTTCAAAATCCTATGTGGAGGGAATGTGACATTCCTTGTGAATGTTTTATTTCCTAAGATACTATGAACCAAACATAGGAATGTGACATTTAGAATGTCACATTCCCTTGGTTATGTTATATAACTTGAACCAAACGCCCCCTAAGTGTAATAAGTTAAGAATTTTAAAACACAAATATAAACATGATTTTGAAACAAGCTGAATGGGTTATTGTTAAAATATCATGTTGAGATTTTTTATTTTTTTTTTAATAAACATGCAGTAGTGACTTAATGAACTTACAACAGTAATTTACGTACCTAAAATAGTGAGTTGATAACCTAGTAAATTGATGATCTTGTAGTAGTAATTTAATGAACATGCATTATTTACTAACATAAAGTAATTAAAAAATTTGTAGTCGTAACTTAATAAACTTGTAGCAGTGATATAATAAGGGTGTTGCTATTTGTACCACCCTCTAGTTAAAAGGTAGGTGTAAATCACATTAGAATTGTAAAAATGACACAAAATTCAACAATCTTATAGGTGGTGTAAATAGATATAGGGGTGTTCATATTACTATTTATACCACTCTGGTCAAATGTGATTTACGAGACTGTATTAATAATTTTTTAATTAAAAATTTAATTAATTAAAATATTATATATATAAAAGAAAAAAAAAACTCTGGCCTTCTCCGGTAAGAAGGCAGTCCAGTTGGTCGCCTTTGAAGAATGAAAAATTGCTATTTTGGAATATTGTAAAATAGAATTTAGAAAATTAAATTTTGGGTTGTCACAAGTAGGGCTACTTTAATTTGGAACACCCTTGGCTTCCTGATGAGCCAAGTCCTTTAATTCAAACTGCTATGCCCAATGAACTGAGTGGAGCTATGGTTTTAGGATTAATTGATCCAGGTACTTAGAACCCCATATTTTATCTGATATTTTTTATCCCCAGGATGTGACTAGTATTTCTAGGATCCTAGTCAGTCTTGACTGACTATAATGACTCATGGTTTTGGTATAAGGACCTTAGGGGTTGCTTTACAGTGAAAGGAGGTTATAGCCTTATAGGCATATTAATGGTAATTACGAGGATGCCCCGGGGAGTTTTATAAATGAATTTTTATATGGAAGCTACATGTTCCTCCCGAAGACATTTCTCTGGAGAGCTATAGGTAGGGAATATCTCGACCGGCATAACTTTACCCCGGCCGGTGTGCCTTTTGTCTTTGTCTTCTTGTCTTTGCAGGTAACAGGTCGGGCTTGTTGTGAAGAACCCGGTCCGGGTCCGACCGAGAGTTGCCCGAGCGGCAGTGTCGACCACCGAGCGGTAGCCCTTAGGCGAGAGAGCTGACGAGGGACACGTGGCGGCTCCACGCGTTGACAGGCAGGGCACCCGGGACGACGACACGTGGTGGCTACGTGGGAAGCATGCCGAACGGCCGGATTTGTGTCTCCGGTTCCGCGGCTATAAATACCCGCGATAGCTACAGTGTGAGGGACTTTTGGACGATCGATAGGTTGTTGTTAGAGATTCCCGACCGCAGTCAGTCGGTACTCAGAGCAACCAAGTAGATTGTACTTAGGGCCTTCAATGTGACCAATAAAAGACATTTACTTGCTTTAATTGGTCTCGCATTTATTAATTACCGTATTACGTGGCAATTAACACTATCATTTTGGCGCCGTCTGTGGGGAACCGTACAAGAAAGCTATTGTCTTGACGAGCACCCGATCACTCATCAACCATGTATCCGTGGGCACAAAACCTCTTTGCCGACGGCCAGGCGGATGCAGCGAGCTCATCCGACCACCAGGCAACACAACAATAAGGTCAAACAATGGACCTCAACCTCAATCTCTCACCACCACATCCATCCAACACATACCCGGCCGCCCAACAGCTGGTGAACTACATCCAACCGGGGTACCCAACACCCGGTCAACAATATCAGCAGCAGCCGATGATGTATCCCGGCCAGTATCCATACCCGGTCCCACCTCAACCGTACGGGTATTGGCCAGGCCAACCGATGTACTCCACGCCCCCGGTTGGTTATCCACCTTACACGCCTGCGTACACGGCTCCAGCCGCCGCCCCTCCAGTTTACCCGGCCGCACAAGCAGAGCCGCAGCATCAACCCGCTTCCCGGGCTCGACGCTCGGCTCGTTCGCGGTGGGGGTCGGGGGGTGCTGATGCGATGGAGGCACCACGGCAGGCCCAGCAAGCAGCGGAGGTTCCGGCCCAAGCGGAGGACCCCGAAGAAGTTGCCCGAGCGGTAGCTTTTGATCGTTTTCGACCGGCGATGCGACAACGTTTGGGGCCCCAAGACCCGAACCGGCAATCGGAAGATGTACAGATGCAGGAAGCCAGCCAGGAGGCTTCATCCGGGCATAGCGGGTCGAGATCTCATCGACGATGACGCGCTCGGGACGCAGCCCAAGCTGCCCAAGCCCCGAGCTCAACGAGACCCGAGGATTGCTCTACAACCTCGAGGCGGAGTTTGCGCAATTCAGGAATGCGCACCCTGCAACACCCCCAGTCGACCAATCGTCCCTGCTCAGGACACCTTTCACTGCCGAGGTAATGGCTCAGCCCTACCCGCTTGATTTGAAGGTCTCCGGGGAGAAAAGTTACGATGGCCGTACGGACCCTGAGGTCCATGTCAATGATTTCTATGGAAACATGATGTTGAAGGGCGTATCAGACGCCGTGATGTGTAGGACTTTTTATTCCACGCTGACCGGTCGGGCGGCGGAATGGTTCCGAACTTTACAGCCGGGCTCAATTGCTGATTTTAACACCCTGGCGATCAAGTTCGTAAGGAAATTCATCACCTCCAAGGTGGTGAGGAAGCCCTACATGTACTTGGAGAAGGCCAAGCAACTTGAAGGGGAGAGCTTGACTGACTTCCTCGTCAAGTGGAAGGCGGCGGTCGGGGAAGTTGAGCCCATGAATGATGCGACTGCCATTCACATGCTTCACATCTCCCTCCGGGCGGGTTATTTGTACCAGAATTTTATCCTACACCCCCCGGCCACATATGAGGAGGCCCTTCGAAGGGTCACGGACTATGCCAACGCCGGCGAGGCGAATGCCGTAAAGCGCTCGCAGGAGGTCGGGTCTTCGTCCCGTAAACCGGCCGGCCGGGCGGAACACCGATCGGGTGATGATCATCCCCGATCCCGCACCAGGCCTGGTGAGTTTACAGCCTTGAACCAATCCGCAACGGAGGCCATGCAGTACGCTCAGTCCTGCAATCTCATTAAACTCCCCCATCCCGATCGAGACGGCCCTGACAAGAGTAAGCATTGCGCTTACAACCGATGTGCCGGGCATGACACTGAGGAGTGTACCCACTTGCGCCAACTGTTGGAGGACCTGCTCAATCTTGGGAAGTTGGACAAGTGTGTGGGGAAGAGAGAAGACACAAAGAAGAATACCGATCGGAGAGACCACCGGCGCTCTCATCACCGTTCCGATCGCTCTGATCGTGATGGACGCTCCGATCGGTCAGGTCAGGACCGAAGAGACGATCGTCGTGATAACCGACATGACCCTGACCCTCCATATAGCAGCCGACCGGCAGGAAAGCCGGCCATCCACGTCATTTTTGGTGGTTTGGACGATGCTTCCCGACCGAGGGGTAATTGCCCGGTCGCCGTAGTAGATTCCCGGGACACCGGGAAGAGGCAGAAGATGGAGCCCATAACCTTCACCCTCGAAGATCAACCCAGCAACGGTGACATGGCATGGAGGCGCTCGTGGTCACGATTGACGTTAAAGGGACGGATGTCCAGAGGGTTATGGTGGACACTGGGAGCAGTGTCAACATCCTTTACTTGGACGTATTCGAGAAGCTTGGACTCGACAGGAAGGAGCTGACTCCGGTCGGTGTACCACTGTCGGGATTTACCGGGGCGCTTATTTACCCCGAGGGAAAAATAACGCTCCCGGTCGAGATCGGCACATCCCCGAAGTCAATCAAGACGGAGCTAGAGTTCGTTGTGGTCAACCTCCATTGCGTCCACAACATTATCTTGGACCGACCTGCAATCATGAAGATCGGTGGGATAATTTCGATGCCTCACCTCTGCATGAAATTCCCCACCCCCAATGGGGTCGATGTAGTCCGTGGCGACGTCCAATCCGCCCGGAAGTGTTACACCCGAGCGGTCAATAGACGTGACTCCGGTCAGTCTTCCCGGGTGAACACTATTGCCAAGGAGG